TGCTGCTGTGTGCGTTCAGCTTCTCCAGAGGCGGTGAGGACAGGTCCGAGGCGTCCCACACGCGCAGCGCCTGGTCGTAGCCGACCGTGGCGATGCGGCTCCCGTCGGGCGAGTAGGCGACCGATTTGATGTCGCTGCTGTGTGCGTTCAGCTTCTCCAGCACCTTGTCAATCGCCATCTCGTTCGAAGCGTCGATGGCGCCGCCGTACGCCGCGCCGTCGAGCGAGACCACGCTCGAGTCCTCGACCGACGACTCAGTCGCAATCAAAGTCCCGCCGTGCCGCACCTTGACCGCCCCGCCGCTCGCCTGAGCGCCGCCGTTGATGAGGTGCACGCGCTCGAGCTCGAGCGTGCCGCCAAAGGCGACGTCAAAGTGGCGGGAGCAGCCCCTGGCGTCGAGGGTCGCGCCGGCGCCCACGCTCCGCAGCGTCATGTGCGCGACGTGCACGCGAAGCTGCGAGCAGACGGCCCACTCGAGGCGGGCTCCCTCTGGCAGCTCGACGACGAGGGCGCCAGGCCTGCCGGTTTGGTTGTTGACCGCGCCGCGGAGCTCGGTGAAGGTGCTTGCGGCGTAGGTAGGCGGCGGCGACAGAGGCGGCGGCGGAGTGAGCGGCGGCAGCTGCGGCGACGCTGAAGGCGCAAGCTGCGAGAAGGAGACGTCGTTCAGCGCCATGTCCGACCTGTAGCCCGACCCCGTGCGGCTGTTGAATCGGTCCTGAGTCGCCGAGGCGGGCAGGGCGACCGCCGCGTCGCGCCATTCGTTGCCCTGGTCGCCGGTCCTGCTCCAGAGCGTCAACCATCCCGTCTCGTTGTTGTAGGGTAAAAGAGGCGTCGGAGAGGGCGACGACGCGGCCGCCCTGCCCACGAGCAGCGCAGCGGCGGCCACGCGGAGTTGGGCGGCGGATGGCTCGAGCGAGGCGACTCGCCCGAGCCGCAAGGCTCCCGCGCCGACGAGGCCCGTCTCGACCAGCCTCCGGGCCTGCCAAGCTGCGTCGGCCGCACACGAGTCGGGCACGATGCTGTTGACGGGTAGGAGACCCGACATGGCGCCGCGCCCCCGAGTGTTCAAGGCCTCGTAGGCCACGCCGCACAAGCCGACCATTGCGACGAAGTAGAAGAAGAAGAAGAAGATCTGAGTGCTGCCAGTCAGTGCCATGACCTCGTTCTCCTTGGCGCGCCTCGAGCGCTTCTGGCCGTCGACCTTGTCGGGGCCAGTCTTGCTGGCCGAGGAGCCGCTCCACGACAGCGCCACGACAGAGAAGCCCAGGCACCCCATGAGGGCACCGATGAGGAGGGGAGAGCTGCCGGCCGTGTTCGTCTCGGCCGTGTTGATCTCCGCCTGCGGAAAGGCAAGCGCGTGCGACAGTCCGTCACGCGATGAGCGAGAAGCGAGTGGCTTGGCAGGGCACGCAGGGCAGGCCGTGCGACAGGCAGGCCAGAGGGGTGTGACGGGTTGGCGATACGCGATGCGGCGGCGCGGCAGAGAACAACGCTGATCGCCTGGTCCACGCTGATCGCCTGGTCCGCGCGCTCCATGCCAGGGGCGGCCCAGCAGCCGG